CACTCACAATAGTTACCTCACTCACTCACAATAGTTACCTCACTCACTCACAGTAGTTACCTCACTCACTCACAGTAGTTACCTCACTCACTCACAGTAGTTACCTCACTCACTCACAATAGTTACCTCGTATTACACCCACCTCCACAACACTAAATAACCGTCACCGCACAAAGTAAAATAGACCTACAAGCAGGAATACAAACGCATAGTTATTAAAACTGAGCTGTTCTCATACCTCTTCTAAGAAAGCTAGAAAGCCGTTGAGATTCTCGGGGCAACCGTGGTCAGGCCAGTTCGTATACTGTATATGCCATACACTGCGTTGTCTTCCCGACAGTAGATGTGTGACAAGTAGACTAGAGGTGACGTAACACTCAGAGGCATTGCTGAACTGTCGCGTTATCCGATACTGCAAAAGAAACAGCGTGAAAAATTGTAAGTGTAATCACATCTTAGAGCCTAGCATCTCACATTGCAGGCAAGGTATATCAAAGATCACTTCAATGCTGGCAATCCCCAGAGCGCAATCCTGTTACACCTGCACATAATTATCTGCTTTAGATAGCTACACTCTGTTGGCAATACTGTTATGTATATAATGTAATTGTCACACTATCGATTACCCACTTTCATTACCTCCACCCAACGGAGTTGGAGGAGGTTATGCGATCGCTCTCGTGCGTTAGTGTGTTTGTGTGTTCGTGTGTTCGCACAATCGATATTAGCGCGTCGAGTCAGCAAGCCAGCCAGCCAGCGCAGCGAGCCAGCGAGCATGTACATGTGAGCGAGCAGCAGCAACGAGCGGCTGCTACGAGCGAGTGGGCAGCAAGCCAGCAAGCGTGTACATGTGAGCGAGCAGCAGCAACGAGCGGCTGCTACGAGCGAGCGAGCAGCAAGCCAGCAAGCCAGCAAGCCAGCGTCTACATGTCAGTACGCTGGCCTATATCTGGGTTATTCGTGTGTTCGTGAGTCCTATGGCGTATGGCGTATGTCGCTGGTGGAGGTATGCACTCTCCGTGAGTGCACTCTGTCTACTTGGATGTGTTATCATTGATATACTTATATATTATAATGTATGATTATATATGTATATAAACAATAAGTGATTACCACCTTATACACATCGACAAGCATTAATAACAATATCGTAGAAACATGTGCACAGATGACCAGATCGAGAACATAGTAGCGATTCACGTCATTCGTGGGTCGTGGGTAGGTAGACAGTACTTACAGCACCGAATGTGAGCGTATCGCTGTCATCACCATGCTGTGGCCAGTAGGGAACACACTTCTGCTGTCCATTCTCCTAACAACACAAAATCCTTTTTATACGAGGCAAATAGGACATAAAACACACACATAACACAACATGATAAAGATTCTTAACCTTGTCTGTATTGTGTGCTACCAATCAGTAAAGAGCCACTGTATTTATAATAAGATAATAACTTTTTATAAGATATAACATATAAGATTTACATAATAAGATATACATATATAACATATAGATTATTTACATATTTAACATAATAAATAGGATTTACATTTAATCGTTATATTACACGTAATCGTATACTTATGCAAAAGTGCAAAAAGGTTCCTGTTGGATGCAGCAGAAATGCTACAGGGTGGTTCCGAAAAATCCTGAACTAATAACTAGTGACCAATTAAAGTGTAGCGAGCGAAGCGCATCACAGCTGGGGGTCATGAATTTTTACCATCGCAAAACAATCCGTTGTGCAAATCGAAAGCTCCCTAATGCTAAATTTAATGCACCAATTCACAATGATGAAAATCCCTTCTAAATAGTATTATTTTGGATTTTTATTCCCCGATTTTTTTCCAGAACTTTTTTAATGAAAGTGTCAATGACACTATAGCTCACCCTGGGTGTGATAGAAGAGGGAGATGATATTTAAAATTTGGTAAGTGTGTCATTTATGACGGACCGAAATGTCCTTATTCCCTGTTTTATACTAATAGAAATTTCACCGTTTTGTTTCAGGGTTAGTTTTGATGCGAAAATAAATGTTTCAGATCTGAGTCTGAAATCTGGGCGAGAGATGGCGCTACACCTAAATGATCGCCATTTTGGTTTTCGATTATCGCGCAAATAAAAGCAATAAAATGTTCCAGTCAAATTACTGTAACGAAGAATCTAAAACACAATATTACGTAGCTATGATTAGGTAGGTAGGCAGGTAGGTAGGAAAATTTAACAAAATCGAATGAATCTAGATGGCCATTTTCATTTTTGCCAAAAAGTGGGTGTGGCTCGAAAGTAGGTCGACTGGCGTGCTCCAAAATAGGACGTTCAAATTTCTCCCATAGGAGTAACAACTGTATGCAATTTGAAACATGTGGGTGAAACGGTTCTTGAGTTATCGTTGACCGTAGGCAGACCCTGAAATGCATAGTGAAATTGCCAAAATCTACCTAACTTGCATAATTAAAAAATAATATAAAACCCCCTGTGATATGTTTTGGGGCCAGTCCTTATTCATTCACATACTAAAAATGAGCAAAATCCGTTGAACCTGAACTGACTTATGGCCATTTCCATTTTTGCCAAAAAGTGGCCGTGGCTCGAAAGTAGGTCAACTGGCGTGCTCCAAAATAGGACATTCACATCTCTCCCATAGGAGTAACAACTGTATGGAATTTGAAACATGTGGGTCAAACGGTTCATTCAAAAGTTATCATTGACCGTAGCCAAATGTTGACGGACGGATGGACGGACGGACGGACAGACGGACGTACGACGCCCCATGGCAATAGCTCATCTTGACGATGTCAAGGTGAGCTAAAAAATCCAGAAATGTAGCATCTCTGATGCAGGATCTTATTAGAATGTTATTTGCGAACATCAACAATCGTGCCGACCACTAACCTCGATGGAGGTCAACATGATGATGATGGCTAACTCGTGCTCCATGACCATCTGCCAAAAATCTTCCGTGGTGTTCGACATGGGTCCCTGGCTGGCTATGTACTTGAACATATCTCTTTTCACAGACAACTGCGGGAAACAAAAAAAAGATTGTGAAATACAGGTCATGTATGGCGTTGGTGGCAACTAGTAGAAGATTAGTATTTAAGATTTTCAAGATTAATAACACTAGGTCTACTATTTCACACAGCTTGAATTCACAGTAAGTAATTACTGTATTTATTCATACCTTTATACATACATGTATATATTATAATTTAACATTAATTATTAATTAGTCAAAAAACGAATAAATCAATGTTGTTTAATACGGATATACTTTAACGCTAGCACATCTTGTAAATGTATATAATGATGGGTCTATAATACTGCTATTACGGGGTGTGAAATTAACCTTCTTTGACTTCTAGTCATGCGGTCTACTAGATTGTGTAATCTAGTAGTTTGTGAGCAATTCTTGTAGTTTAGAAATGTGTAAATACATAATAATAAAGACTATTTTTAAGTAAATTTAAATTTTAGTAAATTAAAAAATTAGAAGTTTACTTAACCGTGTTAATCAAAACTGATAGTGCTAAGTTAAGCTGACGCTGACAGTCAAGGAGTCCACCGGACTAATTGTTACTGCAATCTACTCATCCGTGAGTAAACCTGGTAGCTTTGTACTAACGGACTACCGTTAATTTTGAACCCTGATATTATCAGGAGTGTATAATATAGATTCAACAGATAATATAGATGTCTATATAATAATAATAATAATAATAATTTTGTCGAGGGCACTCGTTGGCCTCATCCTATGCCGTCTCAGGTTCCACGAATGGTTCCATGCTTAGCTAAATACGTGCAAGGGTCGCTACTCCTCTCGCCCGGACCGTTTCCACATCTCTTTTTGCTTAGTGCTAAGCAGAGAAGCAGTGTGTACCACTTTTCAAGTCTTTGGTATGACCTGGTAGAGCACTCTACCATTCAGCCATCGCTGCGGTATCTATATTATACACTCCTGATATTATGATAATAAAACATCAGTGACTCACTGAGACGCTAGATGCGTTGATGTATGCTCTCTTGTTGGACTAACGAACTACTGTTACTTTTGACCCCTAAACCTGGGTTTACACTACCGACTTAATGTTGGCTAATTAGCGAGTTGGACCAACTTCCCAATTCGCTAACTCCAAGTTGGCGAAAATATAACATGTTCTAATCTCCCAAAAAGTTGCTATCGATCAGTTGGTCACGCAACTTTTGCGTTTACACTGCCGATTGTCGGTTGTAAAGTTGGGAAGTTGGTCCAATTCACAAAGTCGGTAGTGTAAACCCAGCTTAATATTATGATAACAATAATGACTCACCGAGACACTAGAGGCTTTGATGTAGCCGCACTTGTTGGACTAACGAACTACCGTTAATATCGAACCCTGATATCACGATAACAATAATGACTCACCGAGACACTAGAGGCGTTGATGTAGCCGCACTTGTTGGACTAACGAACTACCGTTAATATCGAACCCTGATATCACGATAACAATAATGACTCACTGAGACGCTAGAGGCTTTGATGTAGCCGCACTTGTTAGACTAACGGACTACCGTTAATATCGAACCCTGATATTACGATAACAATAATGACTCACCGAGACGCCAGACGCGTTGATGTAGCCGCACTTGTTGCGTGGCGATGGCGTAAGCTTGATTACGTTGTCTTCATACGGCACAACGTCGCGGAAGCGGTTACGCGCGCCGTTCTCCGGCAGCATCGCCGTGGAAACGTCGCACTTCAGCCGCTTCTTTGGTATCTTCTCAAACTCGATGAAGACTTGTCCGCCGATGAGTTTCTCCTCCAGCTGGACGCGCTGCGGGGAAACGAGGAAGCACTCACTACGTTATCTAGGAAACCATTTCTCTTTCTTTATCTCTGTCTCTCTCTCTCTCTCTCTTTCTCTTTCTCTCTTTCTCATCCAATCCCTCTCCCTCACCTTCTCTCTCTTTCTCTCTTGCGCTCTCTCCCTCTCCCCTGCTTTCTCATCTCCTCCATCTCTCTCTCTATCTCGCCCGCTTGCCTGCCGGTCAAGGTCAAGGTCAAATAAAAGCCGCAGTGATGTGGTTTTGGTACGCGACACACATTCTCCCCAAGATGTGTAAGTATACCAAGTTTGGTCGTGCTAGGTCAATTCGGGGCCGAGTTATAGAGCGGAAGGGGCCGAGTTATAGAGCGGAAGGGAAATATGATCAAGGTCAAGGTTAAGGTCAAATAAAAGCCGCAGTGACGTGGTTTTGGTATGCGACACACCTTCTCCCCAAGATGTGTAAGTATACCAAGTTTGGTAGCGCTAGGTCGATTAGGGGCCCGAGTTATAGAGCGGAAGGAAAATATGATCAAGGTCAAGGTAAAGGTTAAATAAAGGTCGCAGTGACCTGGTTTTGGTATGCTGCGCACCTTCTCCCCAAGATCTGTAAGTATACCAAGTTTGGTAGCGCTAAGTCAATTAGGGGCCGAGTTATAGAGCGGAAGGGAAATATGATCAAGGTCAAATAAAGGTCGTAATGACCTGGTTTGGGTAGCGCTAGGTCAATTAGGGGCCGAGTTATAGAGCGGAAGGGAAATATGATCAAGGTCAAATAAAGGTCGCAGTGATCTGGTTTTGGTACGCTGCTCACCTTCAAAATACGAAGCCCTTATGATGCCACGTGCTTACTACACCCTAACACATGCTACCTCGTCTGTGAGGAATCGCATTGCACTCACCCGTGGATCTTTAGGTACTCTTCCTTCGATCTCTTCGCTAACGTTGGACAACGACAGCAGCAGTGGCGGCGCTGGCTGCGGCACGGCGGCAGCGGATGCAATCAGGGAGGATGGCATCACTCGCGTCGTTGACGACGGCTGTCGCTTGAAAGACGTAACGACGCTGATGTGCTCCGTCGACGACCCCGACCTACTGTCTGTCTCCGTCGCGCGAAGGGTGGCGCCATCTATCGAATGCTCGCTGCGAGGACTGGGCGCGTCGCGGATCGCCGCCGCCGCGCAAACGTAATGTCCCTGCGCGTGCAACCCCTGGTGGTCGCCGCTGCCGATGCCGTGCATCTGCAGCATCTCGCTTGCCTCGTTGCCGGCGGCGACGCGAAGCCCGTGCATCACGACGCGGTTGCCGTGGTAACTGCACACCTGCATCTCGTCGCCGTGGGGACCATGCGACGACTGGGCGACGTGACTGAGCGGCTGGCGAGGACCGAGCAGCTGCATGGCGCGCGGACTGTACTGCTCCAGCTCAGAGATCTCGGCTAGGTTCTCAATGGTGCGATCGAGCGGCGCGTGCTGCTGGTGAGACTGATGCACGTGGTGCAGGTATCTGCAACGACATAGGTCACGCATCACGGGGGCCCGCCCGCACGCACGCACGCACGCACACATATGGTTGTTGTTGTATAGCTTATGAATATACTTGTTATATACTCTTGAAAGCTCGCAATTGACACCTCATTCCTTTTTCTATATCTACACGCTAATGTACACCGCACGCACACGCACGCTAATGTACACCGCGCGCAGGCACGCACGCACGCTCACGCACGCACGCACGCTCATGCACGCACGCTCACTCACGCAGGCACGCACGCACATGCACACATCCACGTAAGCACGCACACACTCACACATGCACGCCCACGCATGCAGGCACGTAGGCACGTACACACGCATGCACGCACATGCACGCAGGCACACACGCACGCATGCACACACACGCACGCACATCAAGAGATAATAATATATTAGGTATTACATGAGGTGTTATGAGCTCTTGACACACATGTATATGTATATATTATATATACCTACAATGTAGTGTATACACCTGTACGACTACCACACCCACCTGTGGCATCATTACATAAACTCACACACCTGCACGACTACCACACCCACCTGTGTGAGATCAGATCAGGTGAGCTGCTGCTCAGGTCTGCCTTCGTGAGCAGCTGAGAAGCGAGATCGGGCGTGCTGTTGCTTGGTCGCGCGTACGGCGGCGGCGGCTTGTAATCATACAGCTCGTCCATGAGATGAATGGCTGCACCGCCGCCGCCATCCTGATGATTCGTGTAACTCAGCTCAGGGGTGCTATACGTGTGCGTCGGTGCCGCGGAGGCGTACGTCGCGTGAGCGCCGCCCTGGTGGAAGACCTGCGCAACGTCGGGCTGTGAGTAGGCCAACACGTCAGAGTGCGCGTAGATTCCTGCAAGGCACACGGATGCACGTAAGCACGAATGCTGAGCTAGTGACATCCGTCGTACTGAAAGGCATACAAAGGTGGCAAGTCGCTCATTGAAGTTATTATTTCAAACATAATCTCGTGTTTTCCCCACTTTTACGACACTTACCGATATATCTCCAGTAATAGCAACTGTCTAGAGTAACGATAATAATCGTTCCTTTACTAGTCATTGCAGTCATCGTATCATCTTATATACAGAAAAATTGCTACTATGTGAATATAATATTTCAGTTGTTTGCAACGAGCTATTACAGAATAACAAAAAATGTCTAATAAATAGCAATAAAATAAAATCAACCCTTTAATCTAATCTCTTCCAACACGTGGTTCATTTCTTGCGACCATACATACCACGGAGGTACTACACGGAAATTACATCTCGTCAATACTCACCAGGTAACTCTTTCCCTCCCTCAACTTTTTTCTCTGCCACCCTTGCTAAAAATTTGCTTACCGTATTTACTCGTGTATAAGTCGCACCTTTTTTAACAAAACTTCAATAAAAGAAATCAGGGATGCGACTTATACTCGAAGGTAAGAAATCTTGTTAATGTACCAATGTTTGTACCAACTTTTCAAGGCAAAATATGGGGGTGTGGCTTACACGCGAATGCGACTTATACACGAGTAAATACGGTAGGTACCGGCACTTGATTATGGACGCTGGACACAGTGTACCTGAGCTATTAACTCTCGTCAATACTCAACCAAGTAACTCTTACGGTTACCCCCTGAACTTTTATCTCTTCCCCCTTGCTAAAAATTTGCTTAGGTACCGGTTCTTGATTATGTACCTGAGTTACACGTACATAAACACGCTATACAGCTGTACAGGACACGTGTATAGTTCTCATCCATCAACTACGAACTGGAAAGTCACCCCTGGCTGCCCATTGCTCAGCCAGATACAAATCCAAACTTGAGGATAAGGGGAAGTGTCTGGCGGGGTGTGATGAAAAAGAGACAGTGGGACACCTGCTATGCTGTCCGATATACGAAAAAAAACGAAACGAAGTGAGTGGCTCAAAAGACATCTTACAGCTTCTCAATGACAACCCCGTCAAAGTGCTAAAGAAGCTCCTAGAGAGGATAGGCCGCCTGGCCGCGCCCGCGCTGTGATGCTCGGCATCGCAGCGACTTGGAGAGCAGACTACAGAAGAAGAGAAGAAGGGCACGGTGTACCTGAGCTGGCACCCTGCTGAGCATAGAGATGCTCCATCACCACGTCGTAGTCCGGACTCTTCCTGTAATCCGGAAGTCGTGGCATCATGCGCGACGTCGTCGGCGGCGTCAGGTACGGTCGCACGTCGATCCCCGCCGCCATCGCGTCGTCGTGGTTACCACCGCTCAGGTTTCCGCTGGACGCCGAGTGATGCATGACGCGCGGCGGCGGCGGCAGGGCCGCGTTGAACGAGATCGAGTTTCTCTCGCCTCGCGCCGACGCTGCGTGCTCAGAGCTCTCCTCTTCTGCAACATGAAACACGTATGCTGATATTTTTTGTTCAGTTTTTGTCAGCTGTAAAAATTTAGAGGAACCTGACGAAGACTACCGCAAGTCGAAACTAGTAGTTCGTTGCTAACTTTGTGTAGCATTTTTCTTAACGTAACTTTGATGTAAAATGGCATCTTCCAACCAACAAATCAAATCCAAGTGGGGTAATACAGTAGAGCTGTACCCCGTAGAGGCTGTCCAGGCCTCTTCTTCATGCACGTATGCTGATATTTGTTGCGAAATGTTGCGATGAGTAGAGACAGTGCACTTTTACACCCGCTAACAACTACACAGAGTGGTGTGCGTGTGTGTGAATATTTGTGAAAATGTTGCGGCGAGTAGAGACAGTGCACTATTACACCCGTTAACAACCAATCACACAGGGTGTATGTGTGTGAATGTTTGTGAAAATATCGAGAGGAGTAGAGGCAGAGCACTTTTACAACCACTAACAATATTAATCGCACAGGGCGTGTTTGTGTGAATATTTGTCAAAGCGAATTGTTGCAATAGCAAGTAGAGCACAGTACTTTTCCAACCTCCGCTAAACACACAGGTTGGATACGAATGTTTGCTCATGCCAAATGTTGCCTTAAGTAGAATCCTGTTTAGTTTTGCCTGCATGGTGTAGTAAGGAGAGCAAAATGTTTACCACGTTTCAGGAACCGAATAGTATTTTACAGATTATTATATCTATAAAATAATATATCTGATAACATTTACAATATACAATATTGTACAATATCAGATACATTATACAAAACTACAGAGCATGCAAGACGAAGTAACAACTTGCGACCCATTAATACTTCTGCTACTATGTCAGCTAGCATTCTGCATGTGCACGCATACGCACACACACACGCACACACATACACACACACGCACACGTGCAAAATAATGATCTCTACTAATCGAACACTCATTGTATATTAATTAATAGGAAATTTTAACCCGAAAAACAATAACTGCAATAAGCAATAGTGATAATAATAATAATAATAATAATAATAATAATAATAATAATAATGTAATAAGCAATGATGAGCGCGTGCGTTGTTTTTCTTCGCACGCTCACCTAGCCGAGGCTCCCGTTCCAACTCGTAGAGTCCCTCGTGGCTGTAGAGGAGAGTGTGCGGCTCGGGCCGCGGTGCCTCCGGCCCCAGCATCGGCTCCCCCGCCGCGACGTAGCCGAGATTCTCCACCGGTAACGCCACCTGCTGGTGACGATCGTAAACAACACGTTACTTGCATCATGCGGAACTCGGTTGTGACCATCGTCCGTGACACCGAACATCGAATGTCGTTCGTTGGTTAATCAGTCGTTAATAACACGTCGTAAATTCGTAACTTCGTCATTAACCTTATGCTATTTGGTTGCGAACAGCGTGTATTACTCGATGGGGAACAATGGCTATTTGCTGCTTACAAAACTGTGGGAGGCATATTTTATATTATCACTCAGACCTCACATACGATTATCAAACCAAATGCGTTAGTGGTTCCAGACGATTCTCCGGGTTCTTCTCTCGTCTTAGTTCCTTCTCGCCTCGTGGAGAGTTCTCCGGATTACAATCGTCTAACACACGCTCATACTTACGAGCAACGAGCGCTCATAAAATTCGTTAATTTACAGATGCGCCGACCAAACATTCGTTCGTTTGTGATGGACGAACAGAACAGAGATTCCACAGCGCGTTCCAACTCACGCGCAAGTCGACGTATGAACGAACACCTGTGAGAACATTGCACATGTTCGTAATGCGGGGACTTCTCTTATTGCACGCACTCACTCACCTGGGGTGAAGGGTACTGCAGTTGCTCTGTACTGTGCTCTTGCACGGTGGGGAAGGGTAGCTGTTCGTGAGAGTATGATATCATCTGGTCGGGCTGTGGTAAAGCACACAGGGTTAAACACATCGAAACATACAGAGTGCACACTAACTTTACTTCTCGTATGACTGTGGGCCAGCTGTGAGAAAATTCACTGCCACTCTTACTGCTAGGAGCCAATCACGAAGTAGTCACAGATACTCCACAAATTTATATAGTTAGTCATATAGTTGATACCCATCTATAGTTGATATACCTTTATTTAATACTGCTCAAGAAATACACTCACATTTAAAAAGTCTGTGAATTTCGAATTATTTGCTAAGAATGAATACTTTACCTATCATAAAGAAACTAATGGTAAAGAAAGTCGAGTAGCAGTAGCGATAACAATTATTAACACTCCAAACCTGACAGTTTAGGGCACATATATACACAAAGACTAACATATATAAGTATAATTATATTCAATATACACAATATACAATATATATATGTGTGTGTATGTGTGTGTGTGTGTGTGTGTGTGTGTGTGTGTGTGTGTGTGTGTGTGTGTGTGTGTGTGTGTGTGTGTGTGTGTGCGTCTCTCTTGTTCCGTGTGCGTGCGCGTACGTACTACGTAATGACAGCTATTACATGCATGTTTACATCGACGCTACAATTCTACACGTCCTACTAACTTCCCCCGTACTATACCCGCGGTACCAGCGTGTCCACCCCTCCCCCCCGCCCACT